CGAGGCCTGCTCAGGGCAGTTTACACAGAGTAAAACATAGAAATTACAATTAAACAGTTTTAAAACCCAACTAAAACCTTTACCTTTACCTTTTTAAAAACCATCTAATATAATAAAGTGCTAATAATCATATATCATTTAGAAGAAGAAGAGGAGAAAAGATTGAATTTATACCCCGCCCTTCACTACCCAAAGGTGTCTCAGAGCGGCTTACAAACTTCTTCCCTTTCCCCTCCCCACAACAGACACCCTGTGAGGTAGGTGGGGCTGAGAGAGCTCTTGACAGAAACAGCTCTTTTTTCAAGAACAGCTCTTGTCAGAACTATGGCTTGCCCAAGGTCATCCAGCCAGGTGCAAGTGGAGGAGTGGGGAATCAAACCCGGTTCTCCCAGATTAGAGTCCGCGCACTTAATCCCCTCCCCCAAACAAAAGTTAACGATGGCAACCGTTATTCAGTGGTCCCTTCTCGCACTCGGCTCGTGGGTCTGCCCTTTAGGTGGCTGGCACAGGCTGCTGTTGTTGGCGACTTCAGGGGACGGGGCTCTCCAGCTGTTAAAGGCAGCTACTTAATTGAAGGCCTGGTGGAAGAGCTCCTTTTTACAGGCCCTGCGGAACTGGATAAGGTCCCGCAGGGCCCTGATCTCGCCCAGGAGCTCGTCCCACCAGAACGGAGTCGCCAGCGAGAAAGCCCTGGCCCTGGTTGTAGCCAGCCTGGCCTCTTTGAGACCCGGAAGGGCCAGGCGGTTCTGGGATCCTGATGGCAGTGCTCTCTAGCAATGCGCCCTCTAAGCTGTGGAGTCTTGTGAGCAAAAATTCTACTTGGTGAGCTCCTGGCATTAAAGTTGTGAGCCAGCGATTTGGCTACTGCATAAATTGGTTTACTCTGGAGCCCTCCTTCCCTGAGCTAAGAGAAAAATGTGTGAGCCGGAGGCTAAAGAACTGTGAGCTAGCTCACACTAACTCAGCTTAGAGGGAACACTGCTCTCTGGGGAACGTGTGGGGAAAGGCGGTCCCTCAGGTCTGGTATGGTTTGTGCAACATGTTCAGAGGCACTAATCCTCTGAATCCCAGGGCCAGGAGGCAACCTCAGGGGAAGGCCTTGACCTCTCTGGCCTGTTGTTGGCTGTCCAGAGGAACACGGTGGCCACGGTGTGAGACAGGATGCTGGACTGGATTGGTCTGATCCAGCAGGGATTTTCTTATGTTCTTATGACGGCTGTCATAATGTGTGTCCTGGATCCAAGAGAACATTGCCTCTCTTTCTTCAAACAGCAAAGGTTCCTGAAGCAGATTAACTTTCTGGTCGTGCTCTCGCTGTCTCTCATGTGTTGCTTAGCAATGATGAAGGTTCTGATGCCAGTTGGCCGAACTGCTGTGATGACACAGAATGCTCAGACAACCCACTAATTTGCCATCCAGCTTTTGCTAGGGAAGGGGGAATTGTCGGTGTGGCTGAGACCATGCCCCGACTCAAAGGCAGACTGAAACGCTGGGAAGAGAGCTTGGAGGCCACAGTGGGGAGGCGAGGCAAAGGAAGGATGGAGGATAGGTCAAGGGCCTTGAAGGAAGCACAGCTGGAGAAAAGCTTGAGAAAGAACGGCAGAGGAAGTAACACAGCTTGACCAAGCATGGTGTAGCAGCTAGGACTAGCATCTGGGTTCAGATCCCCAGTTGGCTCACAAGGTAACCTTAGGCCAGTCACTCTCTCAGGCTAATCTACCTCACAGGATTGTTGTGAGGACAAAATGGAAGGAGAAACATGTATGCTGCCCAGAGCTTCTTGGAGGAGAGACAGAATGCAGATGGACAGGATGATGGAACTGCTTACCCAAAGAGGTCAACGCAGGCCACAAAGGTGTATCAGTGAGGTGGAACGCAGAGTTGCCACCAGCCTGGAGAAAAAATACCCCATCCCTTGAGAGCCAGTGTGGTGTAGTGGTTAAGAGTGTTGGACTAGTATCTGGAAGACCCAGGTTTGAATCCCCACTAACGCCATGGAAACTCGCTGGGTGAGCTTGGGCCAGTCACACATTTTCAGCCTAACCTACCTCACAGGGTTGCCGTGAGGAGAAAATGAAGGAGAGGAGAATCACGTTAGCTGCTTTGGGTACCCATTGGGGAGAAAGGTGGGGTATAAACAAATTAAATTTATTCATTTATTAATTAAATAAAATAATAGAGGCTTAATGGGTGGAACTGGGCAGTGGAAGCTTTTCATGGCCTGGAGGTGAAGGACGATAACATCCAACAAGTCTCCGATTAAAGCAGGGCACCCCAACACGGTGCCCGTAGGGACCATTGTGCCCGCTGACACCTTTTCTGGCATCTGCCAAATGTTTTTAGGAAGTATGTGGGACCAGGTAGGGCTTTTGAGAGCCAGTTTGGTGTAGTGGTTAAGTGCGCGGACTCTAATCTGGGAGAACCGGGTTTGATTCCCCACTCCTCCACATGCACCTGCTGATGTGACCTTGGGTCAGTCACAAGCTCTGGCACAGCTGTCCTT